CGCCCACGTTCGCAATCAGCGAATCGTTAGCGCCCGCAGGCGAAGCCTCATCGTGCAAATCTTCAAATGCCTTGCGGTGACGACCAGCGAGCAACTGACTCGGACAATTTGATGGCTCCCAGAACTATGAGAAGCGAGAAACTTCCGCTGATATCGGTCATTAGAACCTTGGGCCATTGAGTGATATGTTCTATCCTCATTTGACCTCACGCACACTACTTTTCTCCCTTCTTCTACTGTCTCAGTAAAATTGTATTTTGAACCTCTCCATATTTAAGTGATTGGCTTTTTTAATACAAGGCTGAAAGCATTGAACTGCAAATTTAACACCACCACTAACCGAAGGAGGAATGGTTTAAACTTCTCGCTGGGTCTGATCTTTACTGCTATCATCAATTGATCAGTCAGAACCTGCAACAGGTGACGATTGGCTTCAATATAAAAACTGGAATCGATGACTGCATGTAGCGCCAAATTGTATGCATTGCTTTTGTTTGCCGACACTGCTACGAAGGCAACAGGATGAAGCACAAACTTGAGCAAACGTCTGATCACTCAGAACTGTCAAAAGCCATATTCACGGTGGGGCAGCAGAGGTCACCAGATATCAAGCGGTAAACGAAATACACATGGCAATCATCCAACAGTCGCGTCTGCCTCATAAAAACAAACCTCCCATCTGTGCTACTCGAGTATGGCATAACAATACTGCTGTGAATGTAACTGTTGACAAGGCAAGCTCAGCAATAATATCTCTTACCTTAATTTACCTATGACTGTTACTTATGCGGATGATATTTAGAAGGGACGAAAAGGCATCATCGTTAGAATGCCTGTCCCCTTTACGTCTACGAACAGCGTCAATTTTAGGGCCACACTTTGTGTTGATTACCAGGTTTGCGGCACAAGAGTCCTATATATTAGCACATATTGATATAGTCGTTTATTTCTTGCTGTTTTAGTGGACAGCATGTTGATAATTATCCTGAAACCCAAGTCCTCCCAGAAACGAAATTTTCATGTTTTCAGCTTCTGAATAATTCATAAATACATTAGATTATCAATGGCAGTTGTTGAATATGATCGATGGGAAGTGTTTTTGTTCTGTTGCATAGCATAATAAAGTGAATAATGTTATACCGGTCATTATAAATGAATTAGTGACTTAAGCATCGAATCACAACACATGACCCAAGCTTCTTATTATTAACTTTGCCAAACTAAGGAGCAATCAATGCTGCTCCAGTAATCGCAAAGTTGACAGCGTTTGAGGCAAGAGCTCGACAGCTACGGCGTCTATGTTGTTGAAAATCTAGTTTTAGCATCAGGATCGAGATTTAGCTTTTGTCGGTTTTGCTGACGGATCAGAGGCGCAAGACAGGCAAAACATATTGTACCAAATAATAACACCAGCGATTGTCAATACACGTGACAGTGTTCCATGATTTTTCACTTTAAACTACTGTTAACCTTGCCGAAGACAACGCGCATTTCTGTATGCCAGATGCAATTCAGCATATCTGACAGGAATCGTCTTCATCTAAAGTAATGTGCTACTGTCACGATCGACAGCACAGCAAAGAAACTTCGCAATCTGACAGTTTCACTCTGTGACGCTTTAAAAGCAGCCATTCTCCGCTTAAATCGTATG